GCTAGTGGCATCCCTCCTTGCTTGGGGTGAAATGCTTAAACATGAATTATTTGTCAAATGAACTATCATAGATATTAATGGTAATTAGTACTTTTCTTTTTATGTGCCATGTCCTTTCAGGATGTAGGTGATCATGGCTCTCCACCTCCCTCTATCCCTTGCAGCTCTCAACAAGTTCCATCCTTCTGCTACCTCCCCCAGATCACGTTCTGTCATCCACTTGCTCAAGCCCGTTAGGTATGTCATGCATTGTTTTTCTTGTATTTCTTTCCCTCTATTCAACTTATGAGTATCAGATTCTCCAGGCCCTCCTCCCTCATTATATGTCCAAGGAACTTCAGCTGCCTCTTCCTGATGTTGTATAAGCCCCTTGTATCTTAGTGGCTTCCAAGTGAGGGGAGTGAATTGATTAAGAAAAAAATCATATTTTATTTAGTTATTACTATTTTTGTGATGTTGGATGTCTTGTCACTTTTATGTCAAACGAAAGCTTATTATCACTTCAAAAAATGCTTGTTATATTCAAGACTTTGTAGATGCCGGTACTAGTAGTAATGCCTTCCAATAATATCTGCACTAGTAATACTTGTTCAAGTAGTAATCGCCAGATAGCATAATGATCAGAAGAGAATCGTAATCCATAGAGAGAGTGAACATATAGCAATAGTGGATAGGCAAGAAGAGTGAACCATGATCCATAGTTGATAGAGAAGATAGTGCTCAGTTGGTCAATATGCTACTTCATATTTATTCATTTCCTTTTTGATCACATGATCTACTTAATAATGGAATTGCCTGTGTTGCTCAATGGCGATCTAGTTTCAAATTGTGGTACGTGTTCTTATCAGATTACCAGTACTGCTGTGATTAGATGCCGGAGTATTGTACGAATTTACTAGTACTACGGGTGCAACTGGTTAAAACATGATCACATAATTTTATTTGTAACTTTTTATGTGAACCACCTACACTAATATTGACAAAAGGTGAATTTTAAAGTATAAGAAAAGCTAAAACCGGTTTTGTTTGTGCTGTATTCTCATGTATTCTTTAAAACCTAGTCAATTGAATTCTCTTACCTGTTAGTAACTACCAACTGGATTGTATTTATTCAAAGCTATACTTTCTGTCCTATCACATGTGAAAATAGCAATTCATTTTTTCTTTTTCTATTTGGGAAGTGAGATCTGTATGCACTAACTGATCTTTGTTGAAATAACCTTGAAAAGAATTTGGGGCAGGGAAGATATGGACAATACTCATGCCTCATTGTTTTAATCAACTGTGGATCCACAAAAGAATTTTTGAGGCGAGAAGGATTGATAAAAAATTTTTTAGATTTTACGAGTATACTAATGTACTGATTTTTGCATATTGAAAAGATTTAAAAAGAAAATTAAAGCATATAGGTATAAAAAATATTTAAAAATTGATAGTTAATACATATGCAAGTTATGACATGTTTAACTTTTGGAAATGTCAGACTAAGACACAAGAGGTTACTGAGTGTGAAAGAATAAGAAAAAAGAGAAACATTATTAAGGAGTGAGAACAATAGAAGATTAATCAAGAAGACAGTAGATAATGATTGATATTGCATTTAAATTTTTGAAAATCAAAATTGGCTGGGATGCATGGAGCCAAAAGAGAGATCCGTAAATGAGAAGTACAAGAAAAACTGTTAGCATAGAACTTATGTTGCATCTAGCAAATTCAACTTTAATTTGATAAGATCTTGCTACTAATCTAGTACTGTGCTTAAATTCATAAAGTCTAGGTACCATAGCAAAGAGTTCATCCAAACAATTACCATGAAAGTATTTATAAAAAAGCCTCAAGGAAGCTACATTATGGTGATGGAAAATTGACTGAAGCCGAAATGCTAGGTCAAGCCCAATAATATTGCTGATTCTCTTTTAGATTTTATCAAGAATCCTTAAACTGTTCTTTGTGTTGTATCTTATCAAACTCAATTGCCTAATCTATAAAACATAATATATATTATATATACTGCAGCTGTATTGCTCTTTCTGATATCATTCTGTGTATAAATATTGTATTTCCTTGTTTCAGTGTCGTTAATGAAACTCATACTACTGTTCTTATATTTCTGGTCCAATTCTGCTATTCAGGGGCTCTTTCTCAACCAGGGGGAAATTTCAGGGGTGAGAGTTGCTCTTACTTGTTTTTTTTTTTTTTATTTACAGAATCTTGTTTACAATACCCTGACATTCTATTGAACTTTTTGTTGAAGTATGCTTCACTTTATTTAATAATTAGTTTTCAATTAAAACAAATTAGTGTGCATGTATTCAAGTTTAAAAATCCATCAACATTTTCTATTGCTATTAAATTTGTAAAAATTACTCTATAAAAATAATCTGTGTAAATGTATATGTACTAATATGGAGAAGAATGAAGATTTTCACTAATATATACATATTAGAATGTACCTTTTGAGTCAGACATTTTGACTTATGGTGAAACAGGTGCATTGGGTAGAAAAGGTTGATAACCAATGTGCTATATGCTCTATTCATCAGAATTGAAATGACTTTTTGTACAAAGGCCATTTTTTATGAGATGGCACTTCAATTACAAAATGTGTTCCAACGATTATGCTCTCATTATTGGACCATTTATTCTCATTTCCTCATTATTCTTATAAAGGGTGTTCCAATAACTTGGATCGATTTTAAATGTGAATTAATTTTAAGCGTCTAATGATTTTTTTCTTTTTCTTTTAGATTTAGCAACTTAAGTCTTTGGCAATTTCAACCATGGAAAAATCAATAATCAAACAATGTGCTAAAGTTTCAAGGGTGCAATTTGGAAATATTGTTTGCAAATTCAAACGAACTGGGTTGGTGGCAGATGTGTAAACACCAGTGCATGCTCATTTACACCGTTCAACTGAAAACATTGCTGCAGTGCACGAGAATGTGGCTGAAAATCCAGGCACCTCTATTCATTGTGTGCAGGAATTGAACCTCTCCACAAGTTACATCGTTTTCAATTGCACTCTCGGTTGGTCAATTATGTTCACAAAAAAAAAATTGAAGTGCGTGAAATACATTTCTATTTGAACGTCCATTTTGTAATAGGCTTCGATAACTTTAACACGTTTTATTGTTAATGTTTCCATGGTTGAAATTGCCAAAGACTTAAGTTGTTAAATCTGAAGGAAAAAGACGCTTAAACTTAATTCACATTTAAAATTGGTCCAATTTATCGGAACATCCTTTAGTACCATCAATAGATATTGCAGGCATCAATGAATGCCATGATTTGGTTATATTAGTGCTAAGATGAAGGTAAAATTCTCATAAAAAGATGAGCAGGATAAGTCTCTGAAATATGATCATTAAGAATCAATTACTTTTCATGTCTCATTAAAGTAAGAAATTAGAAAATCACTTTTTTTTTTTTTTTTTTTTTGTAAATGAATATGATTGTACATATATATCTTTATTATGTGAAAGCAATTAAAATAAATCATGGTAAATAGATTTTTACTTTGATATTTATCTGCTTTTCATAAAAAAAAAAAATGGCTGTTATCCAAGCTTTTCCTTGACTTCATAATTACAAGTTCATTTTGTGTGTTATTCAAAGGGACTAATAAAAATATAAAAGATTTTGTTTGCTAATTTCATCTTGTGTGAGTTTCCTATTTCTTGCCTTTTGAGTCTATGGACTCGAATCAATAATGACTAATTGTTAAGGATGGAACACTCCTGATATGAAAGCGAAATGTGTCAAATAATAAAAATACTCCTTTGTATCTTTGAGCCTTTATAGAGTAAATGTCTTGTAAACATTTTTATTTATGTGGTACAGACGGCTGAATCAATTAATTCAATAATTTGTAAGTTAGATCCTTCTGTAAAGCCGACAATAATTGCTCTAAAGAACTTTTGTCTAACAAAGTGGCTAGCTTTATTTAAGATCTTCCTACTCTTCTTGAGCCTGTAGACTTTCTATGGAGCATATGGCCACAGTCATTCCACACTAGTTGGTGTTGCTGTTATTTCCATAAAATCATCCTCATTCATTTTATATTCTATTAGTAAGAAGGAAGTTCTACTCTGACAACGTCTTAAAAAACACTACTTTTTAGAACAGACTCCCAAATGAATGTTTCTCTAATCTCCACAATTTTAAACTCTTAAAATTTAGGGTCGACTGTTATCTATTCCACATCCTCATAATCTGCATTTACTTTCTCCTCTTACAACAACATTCAGTAGAATTTACAAAGTGGAGATGCTAGTCCTGTGCCCATTTGCTTTTAAAGTTGTCCTCTTAGACTGGCTCCCAATCAAGACTTTGGAACTCTCTGATTTTGTCAAGGGCAAATAAAACTTAAAGTGACTATTGTATTTCCCAGACTAATTCTACAATCATTTGATCCACAAGCAGTGTGGATCCAAAATAAAATCTAGGCCACCAGCAAAACTTGAACTTACCAAGCTTATTCTTCGAAGTTTAAGTTTCTGATTAAGTTATGAAAGGCAGACAGAAAGAGTCATCCAAATTTAACTAAATTCCTTACTCTTGCAAATGCTAATATGCTACCATATTTGTTTACACTAGTAGTATTAGATGTAATAGTATTCAACTTAAATGAAATCAGGTGTTGTTGAGAGTTGTGATTATAAAACAGAAATTAGTGTGAAACTAAATACCACTCAAAAATTAATAATTTACAATGCTTCATCTCATAAAGCCAAATATACTTACATCTGATACTACTAGAGTAATATAAACAAAGAAGGCAGCATTTTCGAGTTTGTGGAAGTAAGCTATATAGTTAAATTAGGTAAGGTAGCTATTATACAAAGCAAACTTCTGAGGATAAGGAATGTTAGTGTGAGTTTTGGGTGACTTGTTCTTTATTTCTTTGTGCTATTATAATAATAGGATAATACTCTTGGAAGTTGGAATAAAAAGAAACAGAAATTAAGTTTAAAGATATAATTATCCCAAATTAATAATCAATGTTTCATATAATAAATTCAATTAATATTCCTTTTTCTCTTTTCTTTTTCTTTTTTCCTTTTTTTTTCTTTTTCCTTTTTTTTCTTTTTCCTTTTTCTTCTTTTTCCTTTTTCTTTTCCCTTTTTTATCTGTCTTTCTTCCCATTTTTTTCTGTCTTTCTTCCCATTTTTTTATCTGTCTTTCTTCCCATTTTTTTTATCTGTCTTTCTTCCCATTTTTTTATCTGTCTTTCTTCCCATTTTTTTATCTGTCTTTCTTCCCATTTTTTTATCTGTCTTTCTTCCCATTTTTTTATCTGTCTTTCTTCCCATTTTTTTATCTGTCTTTCTTCCCATTTTTTTATCTGTCTTTCTTCCCATTTTTTTATCTGTCTTTCTTCCCATTTTTTATCTGTCTTTCTTCCCATTTTTTTTCTGTCTTTCTTCCCATTTTTTTTATCTGTCTTTCTTCCCATTTTTTTTTTCTTCCCATCTTTTATCTGTCTTTCTTCCCATTTTTTTATCTGTCTTTCTTCCCATTTTTTTATCTGTCTTTCTTCCCATTTTTTTTATCTGTCTTTCTTCCCATTTTTTTTTTTATCTGTCTTTCTTCCCATTTTTTTTTATCTGTCTTTCTTCCCATTTTTTTTATCTGTCTTTCTTCCATTTTTTTTTATGTCTTTCTTCCCATTTTTTTCTGTCTTTCTTCCCATTTTTTTTATCTGTCTTTCTTCCCATTTTTTTTATCTGTCTTTCTTCCCATTTTTTTTATCTGTCTTTCTTCCCATTTTTTTTATCTGTCTTTCTTCCCATTTTTTTTATCTGTCTTTCTTCCCATTTTTTTTATCTGTCTTTCTTCCCATTTTTTTTATCTGTCTTTCTTCCCATTTTTTTTATCTGTCTTTCTTCCCATTTTTTTTATCTGTCTTTCTTCCCCCATTTTTTTATCTGTCTTTCTTCCCATTTTTTTATCTGTCTTTCTTCCCATTTTTTTTATCTGTCTTTCTTCCCATTTTTTTATCTGTCTTTCTTCCCATTTTTTTTGTCTTTCTCTGTCTTTCTTCCCATTTTTTTTTTTTTATCTGTCTTTCTTCCCATTTTTTTTATCTGTCTTTCTTCCCATTTTTTTTATCTGTCTTTCTTCCCATTTTTTTTTATCTGTCTTTCTTCCCATTTTTTTTATCTGTCTTTCTTCCCATTTTTTTTTTTTTTTTTATCTGTCTTTCTTCCCATTTTTTTTATCTGTCTTTCTTCCCATTTTTTTTTTATCTGTCTTTCTTCCCATTTTTTTTATCTGTCTTTCTTCCCATTTTTTTTTATCTGTCTTTCTTCCCATTTTTTTATTATTTTTTTTTATCTGTCTTTCTTCCCATTTTTTTTTATCTGTCTTTCTTCCCATTTTTTTTTTATCTGTCTTTCTTCCCATTTTTTTATCTGTCTTTCTTCCCATTTTTTTTTTTTTATCTGTCTTTCTTCCCATTTTTTTATCTGTCTTTCTTCCCATTTTTTTTTATCTGTCTTTCTTCCCATTTTTTTTATCTGTCTTTCTTCCCATTTTTTTATCTGTCTTTCTTCCATTTTTTTTATCTGTCTTTCTTCCCATTTTTTATCTGTCTTTCTTCCCATTTTTTTTTCTGTCTTTCTTCCCATTTTTTTTTATCTGTCTTTCTTCCCATTTTTTTTTATCTGTCTTTCTTCCCATTTTTTTATCTGTCTTTCTTCCCCATTTTTTTTTATCTGTCTTTCTTCCCATTTTTTTTATCTGTCTTTCTTCCCATTTTTTTATCTGTCTTTCTTCCATTTTTTTTTTTTATCCTTTCTTCCCATTTTTTTATCTGTCTTTCTTCCCATTTTTTTTATCTGTCTTTCTTCCCATTTTTTTTATCTGTCTTTCTTCCCATTTTTTTTATCTGTCTTTCTTCTTTTTTTTATCATTTTTTTTTTTATCTGTCTTTCTTCCCATTTTTTTTATCTGTCTTTCTTCCCATTTTTTTTCTCTGTCTTTCTTCCCATTTTTTTTTTTTTCTGTCTTTCTTCCCATTTTTTTTATCTGTCTTTCTTCCCATTTTTTTATCTGTCTTTCTTCCCATTTTTTTATCTGTCTTTCTTCCCATTTTTTTATCTGTCTTTCTTCCCATTTTTTTATCTGTCTTTCTTCCCATTTTTTTTATCTGTCTTTCTTCCCATTTTTTTTATCTGTCTTTCTTCCCATTTTTTTTATCTGTCTTTCTTCCCATTTTTTTTATCTGTCTTTCTTCCCATTTTTTTTATCTGTCTTTCTTCCCATTTTTTTTATCTGTCTTTCTTTTTTTTTTTCTCATTATTTTCTATTAAATTCATTAACCTCTTTTTTTTTCTTTTTTTTTTTTCTTCAGTATTAGTATTATTAGGTGTGTGTAAAAGTTTCCAGCATTTAGAAGTTTTTTGCAGTGTATTTGGTCTCTAAAAAGAACTGGAAACTTTTGCATTGAGCTCATACATGTTTATTTTTCAAGATTATCTTATTACAATACAGACAATGTTTTTATAACGCTGAAGTTCAAGTGATTACAAGAATATTTTTTATTTTTTTTCATTTAGAGCAGAGAGAAAACCTTATTTTGAAAAGACTTCACTGAAATCAATATTCCTGTTTAATCATTTTATGCAGCCTCTTCTGAAGGTTAGAAGTTAGCACTTGAAATACACTTGATTTTAACATGATTAGAAATGATTAAATGAACAGGCAATTTTGACAAATTGTTGATTAGACTGATATCTTTATAAAGACCTGAACCCTTAAACTCTCACTGGTCCCCTAAATTAATATTGTTGATTTGGATAGTCTATATATTCAAACTATCTTCATTAGATGTCTTAGATTTTTAATTTTTTTTTTTTTTGTCTTTTAAGATGAGTGAACATTTTTCAACTTGGAAAATTTTTTAGAGGAAATTGTCATTGATTGTTCACATGGCAATTCTATTACATGTTTATTGCAGGTTAGAGCTTATTTTTTCTCTAGACTTTTACAGATATGGTTAACTATTTCTGAAGGGACACATGGGGATAGTGAAAAATGCCTTCCAAAAGCTAAGCAAAGTATTAAGATGTGGGAAAATTTCATCAGAAATGAAAAAAAGAGTGTGGAACTGTTATGTAATATTGGTCCTCCAATATCGCAGTGAATGCTGGACAATTTCATCCCAGATGAAGAGACTTGAAGTAACAGAAATGTGGTTACTACAGGAGGATGCTGAGAGTATCATGGATGGAACATGTGAGCAACAACAACGCTTTAGAGAAAATATAAACATATTTAAATCAGAAAGAGTTGAAATTTCTTGGGTACATAATGAGGAAAAGAAGGCTTGGATAATTTGATACTCACAGGACATATTGAAGGCAAGATGGACAAAGGAAAACAATGTGTAACCTACCTAGCGAGCTTGAGCAAATGTATGGTGGACAGGGCTTAGGAGAGATAACAAAAAGACTATTTATTAAGATCTATAAAGGATAGGAAATTATTGAGTGCCATGATCTTATAGAAGAGAAGAGTTATAATTAACAAACTTTACTGACTCAACATTGAATAATGATGTTTACTGTTTAATGCCTTAAATAACCTTGAAGATAAAAATATTTTGTTTAATTTAAATTGCCATTCATATCCTAGCTTAAATTTATTTAAAAAAAAAAAGAGATGAAAGATTGTTTTTTATATATATATATATATATACACACACACACACACATACAGGGTGTCCATAAAGTTCGTGTGCACTTTAAAAAATTTATGACTTTATTTGTATTTGCGATAGAAATAATCTGTAAAAAAAATGTTATAAAGTTTAATGTACCTAGTTTTAAGTATAGCTAAAATAACTAATGTGATTTCAGGCATTACTGTAAATCAGTTGGCAAATGTTTTCTGTAACTGCAAAATCGTATTACCCTTTGTATTGCTAATGATGAGGACATGTGGAAACTTAAATAAAATTTCAATAAAACCTTAAAAAATATAGATTTACTTCTTTCTAATCCTTTTTACAAATTATTTCTATCACAAATGCAAATAAAGTTATAAATTTTTAAAAGTTCACACTAACTTTATAGACACCCTGTATATGGAAATGGATTAAATCTGACATATTGTTATTTTGAATTTATTTTCTTGAAGTGTTATTTTAGATGGATACTCATATTCGAGTAGAAGTTCTGTTTTTTTTTTTTTTAATTAAACAGTATTTTTTTTTATCCAACTATATCTACTGGGCTGAATATTTGAGGAATCTTGTCAGAAAAATATCCAATTCAAACATGCATCCCCTATGGGGAACCATCATTGGATCTGATGCACCCGACTGCTCAGCCATGTAGGACTTCCCGGCGAATACTGCCTTTTGAACACACACTTCTGTTGCTTCTCAAAACATCCATATCTGCTCTGTACCATATTCTAACGTAAACAAAGACAATTTATTTTTAGGAAATGGAGTAAATCCAACATATTGTTATTTTTAATTTGTTTAAATGTTATATTTGATGGATATTCGAGTAGAAGCTTTTCTTTTTAATTAAATGGTATCTTTTATCCAACTGTCTGCTGGCCTGAATATTTCTTGAATATTCAGGCTGGTAGATGTAGTTGGATAAAAAAAATATAATCAAAATGGAATAGTCCATTATTTATGAGGTATTGGTAAGGTGTAACATACATGGTAATTAATGAAGAAATAAGCAGAATGATTATTTGTTAAAATACAAACTGTACTAATTCAAGGAATGTATTCAACAAACCTGTATTCAATCTGCAGAGAATTCAAATATAATATAGTTATATTTAGGTAAGTCAATAAGTCCATAGCTTTTTTTTTTTTTACAGTGATGTTTACTCTACAAGGCTTGAAGGCCATTCAAGATATTGGGTTACAGGGTAAGAAGCATAGCTTATGGGGGGGAGATGGTTAACCCTAAACTTGAACAGGTTATGATTGTAGTGATCAGGGAAGCAACATTTTGAGAATTGGTTCAACAAGGCAGTGGTTTATTGGAAGAAATTGCTTGAGTTGAAGTTAAATTTCGCCAAGGGAATATGAAAGGAATGAGTGTGGTTCACAGTAGTATGTGTGGCATGGTGAGACTTATCTGTGATGGTTAGGACTGGTGTAGCTCATCTGAACACTCTCCATGGAAATAACGATAATGCAGTGAGAGGCTTGCGATGTCTCATCTTTGAGAAAGGGGTAGTAGGGTGGAAAATAATTTGTCACCTACAAAGACGTAGAGATGTTTTTAGACTATTGAAAGTGGAAAGGGAAGACTGTACAGCTCCTGCACATATCAGGCTATGCTATTTACATTATATATTAGGCTATACTATTTAGGACTGAAGATATTGATATGATTTACATTTGAACTAATATCCTCATTTTTGTTATGTTTCAGCTCACAACAACCTAATAACAAAGATGAGAACATTAGTCTGAATATAAATAGTGTAAATAATGCAGCTGTTTGAGGTTTCCTCTCGTTCTACTGAACTTAAATAAAGTCAATTCAGGTTTGCTATGGTAAAAATTTTCTATCCCAAGTAAAAATCATCGCAAAAATGGCAAAAGTCATTTTGTCACAGTTTATTTTCTCTCAAAAAATGGATTTTCATACTTTTATAGGGGTAAAATATTGAAAAATGACTGTTTTATCATCTAAACTAATATCAAGGAAACTTTTGATCTGAACCCCCATGAAACTAGGTATTTTCTGAAAGCAAAGGATATATTCTTTTAAAACTAAAATTGGCTGGTGTAAATGACTCAAAATTTTATTCAGTGGTTAAAATGTGGAAATTTTGCATTTTTTTCTAGTTCTAAACAAATATTTTCCCCATTAATGGGAAATTAACCAGTTTTTGGAAAATCAGAAAGCCTAAATCAGAATCAAACTATTTCAGGCATAAAATTGAGTTTTGAAGGAAATCAATATTCCTAGGGGGTCAAAATGCGACAAAGTCCATTGGTAATTTTCAATTATATGACTGCCAGGGGGTTAAAAAAAATTGACACCCGGTCACGGAAATCTTTAGTAAAAGGCGAAAGATTTATCTGCAATTCCTGACCACCAGAAACCAAAAGTAAAATTGACTTTGACATGTCTGGGTCAAAGGCCAGCCAGCCAGCCAGCAATAAACGTTTAGAACAAGTTGTCGACAACTTGTAATAAAACCTACCACTCCCAGATAAGAGCAAAGAGTGAAAAAAAAGGGTCAACATTGGTAGGGCTTGATATAAGGGGTTTTTTTTTGTTTTTTTTTTTTTTTCCAAACCTATGTTTGAACAATGGCTTGATGTGTTTTGTTTTTAACACCCGTGACCTGGTGATGACAACACCACTTAGCAGACACCACCGCATGTCTTTCGTATTTCCCATCACCAGCCATTTAGCCATTCGTTTTATTCAATGATGTTCATGCCAAATTAAGGAGAGAGGGATGAAGTTTGAATGATATTACTTTGAAGTGAAAATAAATATTTTTTCATAAAAAAAAAGGGGGATTTTTCTCGGAAAATTGGGCATAATTTCTTAATGCTAACTGCTGAGTAACATTTTCTTCAGGCAAATCGAAGATTAATTACCAGTGAATAATTCCATGTGCAAACAATAGCCATCTGGATCCTATAACGTCGCCCGAAAAGGTCCAGAAGTTTACTGATTGATCGAAAACTTGTTGTGCATAATTGTGTTTTTCATGGTCAGTTTCCATTATTTCATCTTGATGTTGTCATTTTCAGACAGCCAAGTCATCAAGGATTCAGGAAAACAGTTTGGCACAGGTTTTCTTTAAGAACTTTACATTCTACGAGGCATTTAAAATGTTACTGACGAATGAGATTTTTTCCTTGAATATTTCGTTTATGTGTCATGTTGGATTTTCCTATATGACAAAAATAAGCGTTTTTACAGCCGTGATGATAACTCCTCATCCCAGAAATTCAGACAGATGATGATTAGGTGATAACAACAAAGATGAGGATATTAGTCTGAATGTAAATAATGTAAATAATAACATCTCATCCCAGAAATTCAAACTGAAATTGTTTTACATTTGAGGTGGTGGGTTACAAAATGTTACCTTGGATGATGACATTTTTATTTTAAACTTTTAAACTTTTCCTTCACAACATGCAGAGAAATTATTTTTTAAAATCTCACTGTTGGATTTTATTTATTTTTGGTATTACATCCTGAATCCTTAAAGTTAATTACAAAAATATTATTTCTGTTTCCAGAAAATTAATGGCATTTTTTACAATTAAAATATAATTGACTTTGTTCATTTTACTGTACAATTT